CCCCTCCGCTTCCCAAAATTTCCCATGTCCTACTGGGGATCGACGAGAAGGAGGAGGAGAGGAGGAGGAGGAGGAGGTAGGAGGAGGAAGGAGGGAGGGGGGAGGAAGCGAGGAGGGAGGAGCGAGAGGGAGGAGGGGAGGTGGGGGGAGGAGGAGGAGGGAGGGAGGGAGAGGAGAGGGAGGAGGAGGGAGGAGGAGGGAGAATTAGGAGGGGAAGGAGGAAGGGAGGAGGAGGAGGAGGAGGAGGAGGAGGAGGAGGCGAGGAGGAGGAGGAGGAGGCGGCGGTTCCTTCCCCTCCCAAGGTTGCCCGCGGGGCCGCTGATCGCCGCCCACGCCGGGCGGGGCCCAGCGGCCCGCGCGCGCCCGCAGGGCCGCGAGGCCCCTCGGCGGCTCGCTGGCAGCGCCGGCCGGCGGGTCGAAGGACGGGGGCGGTCTCGCCGAGCCGATCTTCAGCACGACCTGCATCCAGGAGGAGAGTCGGAGGCGGAAAAAAGGTACCCACGCCTCTGCCCCCTCGCCCGCTTTCCTCTGTGTTTGGGCCTCCTGGGGGGCCCTCGGTGCCACCGCTGGCTCCGCCTCGGAATCCTGGTCCGAACACACCCCGGGAGAGGTCTGGGAGAGGTCCTGGGAGAGGTCCTTCGAAGCGACCTTAGGGGAGCGAAGAATGACATACACATACAAAACTTGGAGGTCCGCGCGGATTCATCGGATCGGCGCTGGGACCCCCTGGCAGCGCCTCCGGCGCCGCCCATGTCGCGCTCTGCGCGCCAGGGAGGGGGTCCGGCGCCGATCCGAGAAATCCGCGCGGACCTCTGAGTTTTTATGTCTATGTCATTCTTCGTTCCCCGAGACCTGCATCCAGGAGCAAAGGGCGACGTAAACATTTGTGCGGGCCAAGAAAAATACAACACCCCCATCTCCATGCCTCCTCCCTCCTCTTCCCTCCTCTTCCTCTCTCCTCTCTCCTGGGAGAGGGAGGGGGCGAGGGAGGTGGTGGTGGTGAAGATTATTTAGCCCCGTAATTTGAGCGACTATCCAAAACGGGCCTTACGAGATGGCACAACGACCTTACGCGGCGGCTGAGGCGGGCCGCCAGCGCGGCACGTCACTGGAGACGAGGGCGCTTGCGCGCGACCTTACGGGGGCAGCTTACGCGCCAACGCCGGTGCAGACGACCCCGTTTTTTTGCGTCGCTCATGTGTTCAACCCGACCGACGATGGAGGTTCGATCGCACACAACGCACTGGTCGGTGCCTATCCGAGCTGGCATGCGCATGCGTGCATCAGAGTGTTGAGAGGGAGAGACTGGTAGAGACTACCTGGATGACGAGTACATTCTGAAAAGAGCATTACGCAACATGCGCGCAAACAGACTTCGGTCGGGGTCCAAACCGTGAAACAGAAGAAGAAGGGCGACACCCACACACACACACACACACACGCACGCACGCACGCACGCACGCACGCACGCACGCACGCACGCACACACACACACACACACTCACACACACGAGGCCCCGAGCGTTGAACGAACACTTTTCGAGAGCGTGCTAACTGGGTGTTAGGTGCTGATGGGCCTGACACCAGGTGTGCGATTCCTGGCTGGTAACTCCTTGAGCGCGGCTCTCTTTGTATCGGCGCTGGACACCCCGGGCACGCCCCACCTTCCAGGGACGGGGGTTCCAGCGCCGAAGGTTTATGCCTGTGCATGTTTCCGACGGACCTCATTGGCGGCGTAGGGCTTTGCGGTGCCGGGGCCGGCGTAGCCCGTGTTGGAGATCCCGCCGAGGTTGACATGGTCGTTGATGAACTTTGCGAACTCGTCGAACTCTATCTGTCCTGTGCAGTCCACGTCGATGGTGGTCATGAGCCGCTTGATGTAGTAGTCGGAGAACTCGTGCTTGTTCAGCCGCAGCACTTCGCGGACTAGCCTCCGCAACTGATGCAGCGTGATCCCTCCAGATGCGTCGAAATCCCAACTGTCGAACATCTCCCGGAGGTCCGCCTCCGTCCGCACCTTCAGCCGGGCAAGCGCCAGACGAAGAGCACGGCCCATAGTCCGCGGCAGCTCCTGTGACTCCTTCGCCCCCAGCTTCACGTACCTGGTGTTATGTTGCTCCCACCGTACTTAAAGACCACATCCCAGAAAAAAAATTCGAGCACCCGGAAAAGTGTCGAACGAGAGTCGAAAGAGTGTCGAAACAGTGTCGCACGAGTGTCTCCCAGGACCCGACGCGTGAAAACCCTGGAGTTTCGGTTTTTCTGTGGTGCTCGAAATTCTTATTGTGATCATGGCTACAGTAGGTTGGAACATCATAAACCTTGTGAATTCCCCAAACTCGATCTCGCCGCTGCCGTCATAGTCGATGCGGTTGAACAGCAGCCGGAGGTCCTTGTCAGGGAGCTTCGACTCGTTGATGTGCAGCGCGCCCCGGACCAGCTTCTTGAACTCTTTGAAGGACAGTGCCCCGCCGTGGTCGTCGTCATAGTGGTCGAAGAGCCTTTCCGCCTCCCTCTCCTTCTCCTCCTCCTCCTCCTCCTCCTCCTCCTCCTCATTCTCCTCCTCCTCCTCCTCCTCCTCCTTCTCCTCCCCCTCGTCCTCGTAATAGCGACAGGAAGCTGAAGACACACCAGGATGGATTCGCATGTGGAACATTCCCCAGTCGGAGCTTGCACTGAAGGGGTCCCAGCAGAAATTGAAAGATTCGGCGCAAATTCCCCGTTGATGTTGGTAGCGGGCTGGGTTCCCGGGTTCCCGGATTCTGGGTTCCCGGGGTCCTGGCTGTTGGTTCCTGGCCGATTTCGGTTGGTTCCGGGTTCCCGGGTTCCCCGTCGATCTACTTATCGATCTCTTCATCGATCCCATGTCAAACCATCCGCTGATTGGGTTATTTTCTCTGGTGTAGTGTGGACGCAGCGCGCTGGATGCACACGCGGAAGCCCTGCGTGCACGGCCGGTCGCCAGGAAGACGCCCTGGCCACATGTGCCTCCGGCGCTCGCCCAGGTCGGCCGGGGCCTTGAGCATCTGGCTGACAGGCATCCAGAGATCCGACGTCTTGTTTCAGTTTCAACACGGGGTCCCAGGAAGTCCCCGACCTTCCCCCAGGGTAGTTTGTCATCCTGTATCGTTTCTTGACGGCCCTGGGGCCCGACAAGGGCCCCCCGAAGGCCGCAAACGACGAAACACACACACACACACATACATAATCGTCTTGCCTGCTTTCTCTTGACGACGCTGGGGGGGGTGAACGTAAGGGGGAACATCGGGGGGAGGGGGCCAGCTCAGGGGGAAAGGCGTCGACACAGCATCGGCGATACATCGCCGATAGATCGGCGATATGCCCCCGATATCAACTCCCCACGGTCCTGGGCTGGGTGGGCCAATTATCGGCTCCTTATCGGCTGTCAGTGGGCGACAGGGTGTCGATGCGTCGCCCCCCCCCTCCCCCTGAGCCAATCCCAATCACAAATCACTTGGCGCTTTCGCGCTATAGTTCGGGCCTCCAGTGGCCGTTCTGGACGATCTGCGCACTCCTGGAACGCCCTCGGCGAGGCGCAGCCGCTTGAACGCACACCGAGGCTGGAAAGCCGCCCAGCAAAAGCCGAAAACGTCCGTCCACCTCGAACTTCGAAGCTTCGTCGCCCCCATAAGCCTAAAGTGCCCCTAGTATTGCCCCTGTGCCAGACATGCGACGTCCTGATTTTTCAGGACGGCGTCCCCGGAAATCCCGACCCTTTCCCCGGGACCGGTTTTGCGTCCTGAATCGTTTCTTGACGGTCCCGGGGCCCGGCGAGGGCCTCTAGAGACCGAAAACGGCGAAGAAACCTCCGTCCTGAACGTTTTACGACGCAATCATGTCTGGGGTGGCAGCATTGGCGGACGGTCCTCCTCCACTTGCCGTCCTGGTCGACGCCCTCGCTGCCGGGGAGCCTGCCCACGGCCGCCACGCTCGACTCGCTGTGCACCACGGCGTTCAGCACCGTCTTGACGCGGTGCACGGCCATCTCCTCGCCGTCTGGCTCTCAGGCCACTGCTCTCAGACCCCCACGCGCCGAGAAAAAGTCGCGACGAGATCTGTTCAGGCTATCTTCGGCATCTGAGGGCCCTCGCCGGCCCCTGGACCGTCAAACAACGACTCGGGATGAAACGCGCTGCCCACAGGAAGAGGTGGGGACCTCTGGGTCGACGTTGTGCACAAATCATGACGTCGGGGTTCTGGTTTCTCGGATCTCTCCGGCGGCCTTGCGGGACGATCCGGGAATCCCCCTGAACGCCCTCGGCGAGGTGCAGAGCTGACAGAAGGCATCCCCAGTCTGAAACCAGCCCAGAGCCGACAGAAACGCCCCAATTCGCCCATCCCCCCCCCAACTTGGTGGCGCGCGCAAGAGGGCGGGGGGGGAGGGGGGGGCCTTCTAGGACGGCGGGAAGCTTCTAAGAAGGCAGGGGCCTTCTTAGAAGCACTCCCGACTTCTAAGACGCCCCCAGGGCCTTGAGAGAAGACACCTGCCTTCTAAGCAGCCCAGCCTGCATTCTGACAAGGCCCCCCCTTGGCGCCACCCCCTTGTGGCGGCCGCCAAGGGCCACATTGTACCCTCCGAGCCCACGAGAACACCCAGAGGCACCGAGAAACGTCCCAAACGTCATCGATCCTCCCTCACATCTCCCTCCCTCCCTCTCCCTCCCTCTTCCTCCTCCTCCTCCTCCTCCTTCTCCTCCTCCTCCTCCCGCTCCTCCTCCCGCACTCCCCCCCCCTGCAGTCCGTAGCCACTTTGGCTCGAGGTTCCGTGCTCCGTGCGCGAGCGGCCCGCCACTTCTTCTTGCTGTCGGCCCGCACTCGAGCAAGGGCCCATGCCAGAAGAAGAGAAGGCGCCATACAAATAATCTTTTGGCGCTCCGCGCGGGTTTCTTGGATCTTCGCTGGGCCCCCCTCCCTGTCGCGCGGAGCGCGCCAGGGTCGGCGCTGGAGGCGCCGCCAGGGGGGTCCAGCGCGGATCCGAGAAATCCACGCGGAGCGCCAAAATTAATGTTTACGGCGTTTTGTTCTTCTTCGACATGCGCGCTGCCCCCGCCAGCTGGGGCTCGTGCTAGGTCGGGCGTGTCCTCCTACAAGTGGGTTTTGCACGAAAAATTAAAAATAGTCAGCCTTCAAGTGCTGAAAAATTGTCAAACATAGTCGGGCAGTCGTCCCTGGACTATGTTTGTTTGAGTGTTCCTCCTCAAGAGGAATACATACCCGAATCTTGACTCGTGCCACGAGTATTCGTGATAAACACACAAGCCTGATACAAAACCCGTGTGATAAAAACACACACGCAAGTGTGATAAACAAAAAACAGTTGTGAGAAAGAAACTTGGCCGAACGAGTGTAAAGTGCGATAACAACTTGTTTTGTTCTTACAGGGCAGCTTCTAAGACATAGGATTTTTCTAATATATAGGATGTTTAATACATGATTGATGTATGAATGAATGTATGCATGAACTCATCGTTGCTTTGAATACTAAACCGCTGCATTTTTAATACGTGATCCGCACGCGGAACACGTAGTAAAAACGGCACTGTGCCACACTTGGCCGGCGCCGTCGCAGCGGCCAGCCGCGGCCGGGCACCTCTCCGCGCGCCCGCGCGGCGAGGCGGCGCCGTGCGCCCGTGCGGCCACGGGGCGGCGCCCGGCCTCGCGTCGGGGGGGCGGGCGTACGTGGCCGCGCCTGTCCAGGGGCCTGCGGCCCAGCCCGCCGCGGCGGCCTTCCGCTCCAGAGGCAAACCTCGGGCCAGTCCCTCTCCGCAGGTGGAAGGTTCACAGGTAGCCCCAAAATACTACAGGGGGAGGGTTCAAAAGTAGCCCCAAAATACTACGGGGGGAGGGTGCACAAACCTCGGGCTAGGTCCTCTACAGGGGCAGGGTCCACAAGCCTCGAGCCAGTCCCTCTCTGCAGGGGGAAGGTTCACAGGCAGCCCCAAAACTGCTACGGGGGTGAACTCTCGACTATTCCTGCTGGCCTGGGGGGGGGTACCTTCTGACCCTTGAACACTTGCACTTGGCCAGAGTCCGCCTGCATGGGAGGACATGCCCGACCTGACTCCAGAGATGCCCGTCCTTGCGTGCCAGACAGATTGTGGTCGTGCCATGGGTCACGCCGGCGCCGACGGGCTTGCTCACGATGCCGTTCCCAGGCGGGCGGGACCGCCTCTGTGGCCCGTGCGCCGCCGCTGCCGCTTCGGGCCAGTGGTGTTCAGCTGCCGCCGGCCACTTCGCCACGTACGTCCACGCGCGTTCCTCTTCCGACGTCTGCACCGAGGCCGACGCAGTCTTCTTCAGGTGCTGAAGCTCTGGTGCCTGCTGCTGCTGGCGCTGCCAGGGGCTCCGTCGCCATCTCGGTCTACGTGGGCTCGATGACGGGCGTCACTGACCCCGTCGTCCCACGTAGCACCTGTCCAGCCATTTCGCGGCGGGACTGGCCCATCAAGGGGCCTCCAGCTTCCCCGCGCCCCCGGATGCTGCCACGCTGGCCGTGTTTCGGCGCGGCCGCGTCTGCTGCGAAGCCGCCAGGTCAGGCTCATCCTGGTGACTGCGCTTGTCAGCCAATGCCTGGTGCTGCATCTGCTGATCGTGGCCTCCCACGTGCTGCTGCGGACTCCAGCCCGAACTGCCGGGCCGTACCCAGCATCTTCGCGGATGCGGAGACCCAGGCAGCGGTCGAAGCTACTGGTCGTGTATCGTCTGGCGAACGCAGCGACGACATGATATCTCGTGGTGGCGTCTTGGATTGTTCCGCCTGTCGAACTGTGCCGTGAGCGCGTTGCAAAGCTGCCATCCAGCCAGACGCCTTTTCCGCAAACATGTATGACGTAGAACTGGGAATGAGCTTGCAAGGGGAATGGATGCGTGTGCACCGTGTGCCCGTCGTTCCGTTCACTGCCATTCGCGAGCCAATTATCAGCACAGTGCGCGAAGAGAGTTGCCTGATGCGTTTGCGTAGGTGGGTGCGCCCATGACCTCCTCTTGTTCCTCCACCCTCATCGCGGCCTCCGCCCACTGACGTCGATGCCGCGTGTGCTGAACGGATTGTGGACTCCCGCTTCCCGCGTGGACGATAAGGCGTGCGGAGCCTCCCTTCGGTCCGGGAGAAGCCAGCAGCTGCAGACTCCTGCATTCGGCAAGGCTGCTGGGCTTACTGTTTTTCACTGTCCTAGCCTGTGCCGCACTTGCCCCTGTGTCGTGATTCAGCCTTCATGCGGCCGTTTGCCTTCCTGGCTGACTTGGTGCCCGTATGGCCGAATCTCTTTCCACGTCCCAGAGTCACCTGCTCAGCTGCAGCGCCGCCAGTTGCTGACAAGCTTTGGGCTTCATCAACGTCGCAGTCAGCTTCGGGCTTCTGCTCCTGCTCCTGCTCCTGATCCTCCTCCTGCTCCTCCTCCTCGCCCTTTCTTTCGGCAAGCTGTCGAGGTCGCTCCTCCTCCTCCTCCTCCTCCTTCTCCTCCTCCTCCTCCTCCTCCTCCTCCTCCTCGGTCCTCCTTCTTCGCGGACCTCGGCCCTCCATTCTCGCCTCCTCCTCTCCGCGACCGCCGACCCCCGCCGCCGGACCCGAGTCTCAAGTCGGGCGTGTCCCCCTACAGGGGGATTTTCGACGAAAAATGAAAAATACACTAAAAAGTATTCAAAATAGTCAAAAATACAAAAAATAGTAATCCCCAGACCATGTTATTACTACCTTTTGACTGTTTTGGGGTATTTTTCAGTTTTCGACGAAGATCCCCCTGTAGGGGGACGCGCCCGACATGACCCGAGCCCCGAGGTCCTCCGACTCGAACATCTCATCCGCGGGCCGCCCGCCGGCTCCGCCGGCCGCCGGCAGGGGCGGCTTTCCCCGCGGGGGAGCTGCCCTCCCCGGGAGGCCACCTGCGGACCCTGCCCCCTGAGCATTTTCTGGAGGCCTGGAAACTGGCACCAACACCAACACAGGGGGTGACCTCCACATGGGGAAGATGATCCTAGATTTCGGTGCTGGTGGTCATATTTCGGCCGCCTTGGAAGCCAGAATATTACCACCATCACCGAGATCGGGTTCGTCTTCCCTCGGTGGAGGCACACCGCCGATCTTGATGTTGGGGTCAACCTCTGGGCCTGCGAATTTTCTTGGAGTGGAGGGCCCAGGGTGAAATCCCTTTGGGATTCTGCGCCTCGAAGAGCAATCCGTCCTGTGGTGCATCTTTTTGCAGATGCAGGCCTCGAAAACCAATCGAAACGGCATTTCAGATTTCACCCTTTGCCCTCCACCCGAAGGCAATGCTCGGGCCCCACCGCCCCACGATTTCTGAGGGGGCGAGGTGCAGAGGAAAAGAAGGTACCCATATACCCCTAGCCGTTCCTCGGCCTCCCCTTTTTTTCTGGGCCTCCTCGGAGGCCCTCGTCGCCAATGCTGGATTCGCCTCGAGGTCCTGGTCAGACCGCACCCCTGGAGAGGTCTAGGGAGTAGCGGTATCGGTACCGTTCCCAGAGATCCGACGTCGTGTTTTTTCAATACGGGGTCCCCAGACGGCCCGACCCATTCCCCAGGACTGGTTCTTCATCCCGAGTCGTTTTTTCACGGTCCCGGGGCCCGGTGAGGGCCCCTAAGGGCAGAAAATTGCGAAACACGTCCGTCTCGATTTTTTCAATGCGCTGGATCTCTGGGTTTGGTTCCCCCTGTAGGAGGACACGCCCGACTCAATGGCACCGTTTGGTTCCCCCTGCCGCAGCACCCCACAAGTTCCGATGGGGGCGAGGGGGGGCTCCCCCCTCGTTCGGGGCCTCCAGAGCGCAGGGAGCGCAGCGCAACCACAAGGGGCATCCATACCGCTGCTCCCTGGACCTCTCCAGGGGGTGCGCTCTGACCAGGACTTCGAGGCGAGAAAGCCAGCGGGGGCGACGAGGGCCTCCGAGGAGGCCCCACCAGGAGAGGACGGGGAAGGGGTAGAGGCGTGGCCCTGCCCCCTGAGCCCTTGCTTGGAGTGGACTCCTCCTCCCTCTTTCCCTCTTCTCCTCCGCCTCCTCCTCCGCCTCCTCCTCCTCCTTCCCCTCATCCTCCCCCTCCTCCTCCTTTTCCTCCTCCTCCTCTCCTCCTCAGGACCTCGCCCCCTCAGAGATCGCGGGGCGGTGTGGGCCAGGTCCGCAGGTGGCCTCCCGCGCCAGGCCCCCCCCCGAGGGCCGCGCGGCGGCTCCGGGAGCGCGGGTGCCGTCGTGCACGGCGCCGCGGGGCCACCCGGGGGCACCCTCGAGCCAGCGGCCGCGGGCACTCCGGATAGGAGGCAAGTCCTGGGATCCCTGAGGCCCTCGCGTGGCGAGCAATCATCGTGACGGAATGTATGTTTACACACATATACACATATAGATGCGTATGTATTCATATTATATATATATATGCGCGATTACATTTACATCTACATATATATATATGTATATATATATATATATATGTACGTATATGTGTATATATATATAAATGTATATATATATATATATATATATATATATATAGGTTCGGCCTCTGGGGGCTCTCGCCAGGCCCCCTGGGCCGCCCAAACACGACACGGAATGAAGAGCGGGTCCCCGGGAATGGGTCGAGATCCGGGGGTCCACGTTTTGAACATGTCATGTCGTCGGGGGTCTGGGATGGGAGCGCAGAGGCATCCTTTCCGGTTGCTTTACACGTGCAAGTGGTCTTGATATGCTGGCAGGGTGGATGGGTTGGGATTTATTTTTTGACCCCCCCCCCACTGTGCACTGCATATCTCCGCTCCGCCTCCAGTCCCACCGTCGACCATGCTCGTTCGATGCTGCACCGTGGGCACTGTGGTCCGACGAGCCCCTGGGTGGCGAACCGCGTGGCTTTTTTTTCCACCGATGGAGACTCGATCCGAAACAAGAGCCCCGATGGCCGCGGGCCCCAGGTTAGAAGATGATTCTAGGTGAGTCCTCGCAGGAACGACCAAGTTTGGATGACACGAAAAGGGGTCCAGCAAAAAGGGGTGGTGCAATACGCAATAGGTTTCGGGCAATTGTATTGCAAATGTACTGCGCCGGAGAATTGTCTTGCATTGTATTGTAACGAATGTATTGCACGCGACAACCCAGCAACACACTTGCGCAGCCGAATGTGCTGCACACCCCCACAAATCTATTGCAAATCAATTGCGCCACCCCCTTTTCGCTGGATCCCATTTTTGGGTCAACCAGACAAAGGGCTGTTGCCCGAGAAAGGGCCTGGCCCGAGTCCGATGGATCAGCCAGAATCAGGCCCGATTCGGCTGGACGCCGTCCAATGATATAACAGCGCCGATGCTGACTTGAACCTTCAATGATTTGACCACGCCTCTTTGCGCCGCCCTGTTTATTGCCCCCTCCCCCCCCCCGCTTTCGAAAACTTGATCTTCAAAGACTCCGGGGGTCTCTGCTGGGCCCTGGCACCGTGAATGAGGAACTCAGGATGAAGAGCTGGTCCCTGACAAGGGGTCCAGACCTCTGGAGGAATCCAGGCGTCGGTGTGGCAAGATCCGCCCACCCCGTGGGGATCATCGGCGTGTGAAATGTTCCCCCCTCCCCAACCCTTCCCCCCGGAGCCCGGTCCGGTCGATTTGGAAGGGGGGGGCCGTCCAGCCAGAGCTCACCCGGGGGGTCCGGCCCTTCCATGGCTCTTTCTAGAGGTCCACGACAGCTTCTGAGGCCGCCCAAGAGGCCTCGAAGACGGTCCAAGAGGGCCCCGACGCCAAGGATGGCCCCAAGACGGCCCCAGAAACCTCCCAGACCGTATCCCCAAGAGGGACCCAAGAGGCCAAAATTGACGAATTCCGATGGGAAAACCCAAGTTTTTATCATGCACGTTCTTTCGGCCTTCACGGCGTTGAAGACGGCCCCAGAGTCCCCCAAGACTGCCCCAAAACGGCCCGACAGGTTCCTACGAGGCGCTCGAAACGGCCCAAGAGGGCGCCGAGACGGACCAACAGGCTCCCAAGCCGGCCCAAGAGTGCCAAGAGGGGGAGCCTGAATCAACAATCCGAGCCTTCCGCCCCAAAACGGCCCCAGGGGGGCCCAAGAGGCGCTCAACAGGGCCCATGGGGCCCCCAAGAGGCCCCAAGAGGCCAGCCAAGAGGCCGCCAAGAAGCTCAAAAGAAGCCCCAAGTACTACTTGAGGCATGTAACTTCTAACCCGCAACCCAGGCACCAAGGATCTCAGGCCGACAACCCAGGCACGGTGGCGGGATGGGCCGAGGGCCACCATGTCCGCCGCCTCCTGTCGATTCATCGCAGGGGTGCCTGGCGTGCTGGACCCTTTCGGATTTGGTTTTGGTTCTATCTAAGACGCCTACGGCGAATCACCGCCGCCCCCTGCCATTTTGGAAGCGCCTATGTGGCCGAACGTTGAGGCCAGACCTGCCAAGCCATCGGACCATGTGTTCCCCGAATCGGTTTGGAAAGCCTTCGGGGAACACGTGGGCATCTTGAATGTCATCTTGGCCGTCTTGGAGGCCTCTTGGGCGATCTTTCTGCGATCTTTGGGGGCTCTTGGGCCGTCTCGGGCCGTTTGTGGCCTCTTCTGGCCTTCCTGGAGGCCCTCTTGGGGGCCTCTTGGGCCCTTTTGGGCCAGCTTGGAGCCAACTTCGGCCATCTTGGTGGGTTGCTGGCACGTCTGACGCCGTCGGGAGCCGTCTTGGGGGCCGTTCTGGGCCCACGGGGGACCCTCTTGGGGCGCTTCGGGGACGTCTTGGAGGCCATCTCGGGCGTCTTGGAGGCCATCTTGGGCCATCTTGGCCATCTTGGAGCCGTCTGGAACCGTCTGGGGCCGAAAATTAGGGCCGTGGAAAAAATCCCGGGACCCCGGCGGGACGGGCCGAAACCCTCTGGGAGAGCTCTTTTGGAAAAAAAACCCAAACCAAAACCGATAGGGTTCCGCACGCCGAGCACCCCTTTGCTAAAGCAGAAGGGGGCGGCGGATTTCCAAAAGAACTCCCCCTGGCGCTTCGGCCCGTCCCGCCGGGGTCCCGGGAGGCTCTTCCAGGACCCCGACGTGCACAACAAACCTTCCTGAAACGGCCGTTTCGCTCAAGATATCGTCAAAAAATCGCGAAGATGGCCTAAGATGGCCTGCAAGTCCGCCCAAGATGGTCCAAGACGGCCTCCAAGCCGGCCCAAGAGAGTCCAAAACGGCCCAAGACGGCCCAAGAGGCCCCCCAGAGGCCTCCCAGACGGCCCAAGAGGCCTCCAAGAGGTCCTCCAGGAGGGCCCGAAGAGGCCCAAATCATTGATTTTCCATAGTTTTTGGAAGGATGTTGGAATTTGCTTCTTCTCGGCATTCCAACTGCTCAAGACGGCCCAAGAGGCCCCCAAGATCGCCCAAGAGGTCCCCAAGAGGGCTCCATGACGGCCCAAGTGGCCTCCAAGACGGCCCCCACAGGGCCCCAAGACGGCCCAAGCGGCCTCCAAGACGCCCAAGATAGGCTCCAAGACACGCCCACGTGTTCCCCGAAGGCTTTCCAAACCGATTCGGGGAACACATGGTCCGATAGCTTGGCAGGTCTGGCCTCAACGTTCGGCCACATAGGCGCTTCCAGAATGGCAGGGGGCGGCGGTGATTCGCCGTAGGCGTCTTCGATCCGCCGCCCCCTGTCGATTCATCGCAGGGGTGCCTGGTGTGCTGGACTTCTTACGGTTTGGTTCTGGTTCTTTTTCCCAAAGAACTCCCCCTGGCGCTTCGGCCCGTCCCGCCGGGGTCCCGGCAGGGAGCTCCAGGCGCGCAAACGACCTCAATGTCCACAACACATTCTCCAAGACGGCTCAAGATGGCCTCCAAGATGCCTCCAAGACGGCCAAGATGGCCCCAAGATGCCCCCAAGACGGCCCAAGATGC